ATCAACCTACAGTACACAGGGTACATCAGAACTCTCCTTCATTAACCTACAGTACACAGGGTACATCATAACTCTCCTTCATTAACCTAAAGTACATAGGGTACATCAGAACTCTTCTTCATTGACCTATAGTATACAGGGTACATCATAACTCTCATTCATTAACCTACAGTACACAGGGTACATCAGAACTCTCCTTCATTAACCTACAATACACAGGGTACATCAGAACTCTTCTTCATTAACCTATAGTGCACAGGGTACATCATAACTCTCATTCATCAACCTACAGTACACAGGGTACATCAAAACTTTACTTCATTGACCTACAGAACACAGGGTACAACAGAAGTCTCCTTCATTAACCTACAGTTTAAAGGGTACATCAGAACTCTCATTCATTAACCTATAGTACATGGGGTACATCAGAACTCTCCCTCATTAACCTACAGTTCATAGGGTACATCAGAACTCTCCTTCATTAACTACAGTACACAAGGTACATCAGAACTCTCCTTCATTAACCATAAGTACACAGGGTACATCAGAACCCTCCTTCATTAACCTATATTACACAGGGTACATCAGAACTCTCCTTCATTAACCTGCAGTACACAGGGTACATCGGAACTCTCATTCATTAACCTACAGAACACAGGGTAAAGCAGATTTTTCCTTCATTAACCTACAGTACACAGAAAACACTAGTACTTTCCTTTATTAACCTAAAGTACATAGGGTACATCAGAACTCTCATTCATTAACCTACAGTACACAGGGTACACAACTTATTTCATCAAACAGATCTCATTTCTTCTCTCCACTAAATATTAAACCTGTCCATTGTACAATTACAATACTATGCGTTCACTGTACATTAAACACTATATATAGAAAAGGTTCTGAGCATACATACTTGTTAAAAGTAATCTCCGGAGTTGCATTTGACAAAATAAGTTTTGCTTTGATCTGGGAACCATCTGCTAGAATTACTCCGTTAGCTTCTCCCTTGCTATTCGTAGTTATCTTTTCAACCTTAAATAAAGAAAATGTAAACCACTCCTTGGCGTTTTAACCAAATAGATTATCAAGTACAATAGGTGGCAACAGAGAAATTATACACGACGTCACAAGTGTCAAATATAACAAGAAAAAAGAAATTTGATCACATTAGTTGACATGATTTCTAAGATTAAATAAAAAAGTGTAAAAACAGAAAATAAAGAACACATAAAATTCCGATTATCTTACTGTGAAATAAACACTTTATTCTAAAATTGTCACTAAAATTTATAATTTTGTCGGACGCAAAAACTGAATTGACACTTGTGACGTCAGAATACAGCTGTACTAAGAATGTACAAATTCTACATTGACATCTTTTGTACTAGAATCTATTTGGTTTTAAACTTAAAATGAAAACTTGTATGAAAAACCACGAAAATTCCGGGGTGTTTTATTCTAAATTTTATCCACATCTTAACATACAGGGTGTCCTACATAAAATGACAGTAGCAAGACGAATTTTTTGCTTTTAATATTACCATAAATATGAAGAATTTTGGCCATATTTCGACAATTTTGGTCTTATATAATAAAATTGAAATCTGAACGAAATTCTTAATATCTCAGGTTATATGTAATATTGACATACATTTTCTTTCTTAATTTTCAGTAGAATATATTTTTAACTGCAATTTTTTTTTTGATTTTTTAAATGTCGAGGATCAGCTCCAAATAAAAATATTTGGTTAAAAATCGAAATCAAATTAAAAAATTTTCCCATAGAAAGATAAGCAGGGTGTCTTAAATTAATTTTAAGACAAAACCACCTCTTCTGAAGTGTTCACATCTTTTTTTATTTGATGTGAAAACAAAATTTTTCCTTTAAAATGAAACTTTCAAAATGTATAATCTGCAACAGACGACAATCATATTTAAAAAAAAAAGATATTCGAACGATTTTCTTCGGAAATAAAATCCAAGATTAGGAGTGCCTAAAATAATAAAATCCAAGATTAGGAGTGCCTAAAATTCCCAGAATCTATCAAATATTTATCAAAATAAGATTAATAAGCTTTTGCTTCATTCAATTTGAAAATATTACTATTTGCTATTTTGTTTACTTTTTATATACTTTTCAACCTCGGTCCAAGAAAGCTCAAAAGGCCTGATACTGATTAAGATCCTGATGCAAGATAGAATAATAAATTTTGACTTACTCAAAAATATTATAATTTATTATTCACATCACGTCCGTGAGTCAAATCTTGCTCATCAAAATATATTTGTTTCAACCTCGACTCTCCCTTTGTATTTTTACAGGACAGATTGTTTTTCCTTGTACTCATTTATTGTACCAAAATTTCGAGTACATAGAAATAATGTGATTAATGTTTGTAGTTTTAGTGTTCTTTAAAACCCACTACATAGATTTAGTGTACTCTAATATCCAGTACATTGTATTCAGTGTATCCTGATATCCAATACATTGTATTTAGTGTTATCTAATATCTAGTACATTGATGTCGTGCTCTCTAATATAAAGTACATTAAATTATTGTACTCTGATATCCTGTACATTAATTAAATGTACTATTAATTTAATGTACTCTGATGCCCAATACATATAATTTACAGATTTGAGAGTTCAATGATGCAAATATCAAATATTAAGTAAATGTTGATTTCTCATATGAAGAAACATTGATTAAATACTTATAGATAGATAGATAAATAAATACATAATATAGAGATAGATAGACATAGAGATAGATAGATAAATACATAAATATATAGATAGAGAGATAGATAGATATAGAGATAGATAGATATAGAGATAGATAGATAAATACATAAATATATAGATAGAGAGATAGATAGATATAGAGATAAATAAATAAATAAATAGATAGATAGATAGATAGATAGATAGATAGATAGATAAAGAGATAAATAAATAAATAAATAAATAGATAGATAGATATAGAGATAGATAGATTAAGAGATAGATAGATAGATTAAAGGTGATGAAATATATAAAAAATGATAATGAATAGGACAAAAACAGATTGAAAGATAAAAATGAATATATTTAGATAAACTTATAGATTTAGTTGGTAAACCTTTCAGTTAAACTTCTGAAATTGACGGGTAACATTTTTATTTACATTATATTTGTATATATATATATATATAATACATGTTATTCATACATATAAAAAAATATATTGATTCAAATTCGAAATTATTTTAATTGTTATGAAGCTAAAGAAGCAGCTCATCTTTAGCGAGTAACTAAACATATAGGCAAATAAGGGTTCAATGTTTGGTGTACAGATCAAGATCAATGTTAAGATCAAGTTTAATGTTAAGATCAAGTTTAATGTTAAGATCAAGTTTAATGTTAAGATCAAGTTTAATGTTAAGATCAAATTTAACATATATGTATAAGATAGTAATCTGTGTTTGTTTGTGTGTTCAACCATGCCCTTGGACTGATTTGCTTCAAATTATTATTTGTAAGCTCCATAGAACTACAGGGATGCGATTTAGGTTGGTTTAACATTGTTGAATTAAATAGGTTGACTTCTATAGTAAAAGTTTAGTTTCTAGGCAAAGCTGGGTTTCCGAGCAAAGTGTTAAAATCTTACCTCTGTACTTGTATAGATCTCCGCCCCTGCGGCTAGAGCTGATTTAGCTATAGCCCCTGACACTGCCCCCATCCCTCCCTCAGGATATCCCCAGGCGCCCCTGATCCCTTCCAGCTCACCCATCACGTGATGTAACAGAACGTATCCTAAAATAACTTATTTGTCATTTTCTGGATTTTTTAAAAAGAATTTGGGAAAAGATATATAAATGTAGAGAATTAGTTCTGAGCTGAAAACTCTTGTTTTGGAAACCTCTAATCCTGATTGCTAAATCTTTGACACTTTTGATTTTCTGCTTAATCCTCTCTGTTGAATATCCCTCCTGTCTTGGAACCAATTAGGGTTCTCTAATTATTTGCGCACCAAAATTTTGAAATTTCTAGGCTTCTGATTGGCTGTTTGGTTTCTAAAATCGACACCGGATTGGTTTCAGTTTAGACAATTTCCCGGATATTAACGAAAGATTAAATTAGTCAAGCATCGATCTCGATATCCATATGTCTAAAGATTTCAGCTCTGAGCTGAGCTGAAAACTTTAGAATGAAATATCTAGATATCCGATGGATTAGCTTCTCTGGAGTTTAAATTCATGTGGAGAACAAGCAATATGAAAACTTTAGAATGGTGGATTTCGAGATTAATGTATAATGCTTGATCCTTTCTTTTTCTTAATATCGAGACTAACCTAATCTTGTACAATTGTATCCAGAAAAGTGTATAAAATTCAACCAATCAGAGTCGCGCCATTTAAGATTAGCATACAGAAAGGTGAGGGACTCTCTAATTTAAAAAACCGGTTTTTGATTTTTCTCTGCTATATCCAAGAAAAAGTGGTTTAAGAAGAAAATCAAGAGTGTATCCATTGAATACTCAGATTAAGTAATCGGGATTCAGGATATCTCATTCTAAAGTTTTCAGCTCAGAGCTGAAAACTTTTGGATGATGGATATCTAAATTAATGCTTAAACTCCTGGTTTTACTTAACCCGAGATTATTTTAATACTAGGGATTTTAATTGTAGGGATATCCAAAAAAGACGATTAAGAATAAAATTAAAAGTGTGTACATTGGATACTGAGATCAGGATTAAGGATATATCATTCTAAAGTTTTCAGCTCTGGTTATATAAGATTATAAAGAGATTGAAATAGTAAAAGATGACTAAATTAAAAATAAATGTGTCAAAGAGATTGATTACTCGCCTCAAGCTCTTATATTCTAATGTTCGTTATATATTTGAAATCTGATGTTTATGACCTTTTATAATATAAATTGGGTTGCACAGATATATGAATTAGAAAATCAGAGAATGTTTAACAACTCAAATCCATTAAGTTTCGTTAAACTTATGCTAAAATGTAAGTTATTGAATGAATTGGAAAAAAATTGAATAAAATTGAATAAAATTAAATAAAGTTTTTAGTTTTCCTGATCCCGGAGTATCCGGACTAATCATTGCTCCGATACAAGAGTCCGTAGCTAAAGTTGCTTTTAAAGGTTCAGATTCAAACCATTTATCCAGGATCTAACAGTACCCGAAGAATTAAATCTGTTTGTGTATATTCATGGCAGAATGGGAATTCAAAATTAATCTTTTTTCCTAATCGCAGACTCAAAAATGAAATTTAAAACACAAGAAACCATTTATAAACCATATACTTTTCTTCCAGGGATCATGACGTTCTGCTTGTTTTTGCAGGTATCATCTTGCATGCATGTAGACATGTAGACATGTAGACATGCATACAAGATGATACTTTATTTTAGTTTTTCTCTCTAATTTTATAAAACATTTTAAATACATAGTTGTTTTCTTTAGTTATTCAGAGCACTGTTCCTTAGTTGTCGGAGCTGTCATTAGCTCGTAGAAATCTCCAGCGACAGGTCCAACAGTTTTACCAGCCTTAAAGGGAATGTTCAGGAATGTTGAGAGAGGGTTTAAACAATAAATCCTATTTATATTGATAGATGATTGATTCATCAAACCCTGGTTAGTTTATGAGAAATCGATTAGTTTTTTTTTCAATCTAGTGGTCCTTCAAACCACGACCCTTCATGCAAAGATGACAACGCTCGATTCACAACGGCACCCTTAAAAGCTTTATTTGATTACGTATGAATTGAATATCATGTGAATCGGGCATTGTCAATGTCATTAGATCAACATGAAAATAAATCGGAGCAAAAAAAACTCCAATTAAACATGTTTGTCTTGTGGACATCTTAGAAAATGCATAAAAGTTATCATAAGATGTGATGACTATTTAGTTAAACCTTCAATTTTAAATATTTTTAATACACTCCACATATAGTTACCTTCAGCAGATGAAGGTTTTGTCGAAGAATACCGATTTTTTCGAATAGAGACGCTTTCGAGAAGGTTTTCATGTCTATGGCTGCGAAGTCTTCAAGTATATTTGGTTGCTTTTATTAAAAATTAAAGTACTATTATCAAGATCTTGACATTATTATTATTATTGTTCTGAATATTATTTCATTCATTGTTACCATTATTGTTAATGCTATCAATAATGTACATCATAATGAAAAGGTAGCTACATAAAAATGGCTAAGAAGATTGAAGAATTTTCATTTTCAACAATTCCCCCAATTCCTCTTTTTAAAAGATTTAGTTAACAGTTTGCAATACGTAAAAATCACAATGTTGTAAGATTTAAATGAAGTTCTGAATCGAAAGTCTTGTTTAAAATCAAGGTATGCAAAGAAAGTAAAGGTTTCAAAATTTAGTTAAAGATGGCAATTTGTGTTATCCTTATATACTGTCTGTTAAGATTTTAAGAGAAATGGGAGAGTGAAATGATATTCCCCCATCGCAAAATTTGCCTTCAGTTTAAAATATCTCCAGGAGTAAATTATTCTCTTTATTGGAATATTGGAAATTCCTTTGCATCCTTAATTCGATCCAACACTTGGTTTTAGGCCGGGTGGGAGGCGTGGAGGGGGGGGGTCCTTTCCTGTTGGTAAATGGTTATCAATCAGATATTATAGGATATAGTGAGACCCATATGACTGTGGAATAAAAAACAGACTGGAAGACTTAAGTTTTAGTACAATAAACATGAAACAAGCAATTACGCAGTGTACACAGACTCATTTCAATTAATAAAATGATTTTCAAAATATTGGTAAAACTTTTTGCTTTAAAACAGCATCAGATTCAGATGAACATAAGATTGCTTATTGTTCGGCATCCTATTCCACAGATTTTTTATTGTTCATATTATTATTATTATTATTATAATTGCTTAAGTTTATTGTTCACCTAGAAGTGGATCTACTGCCTCTACAAATTTCTCCAGCTCTTCTTCATACTTGGAGAAGTTTTCTGCGTCCTTAACCGAGAACTTAGAGATCTCCAACTTATTCTTTTTCTCACACAAACCTAAACCACATTTAATTCATTTTAACCTTTATGATGTTTAGAGCTTCTGATATTAATGGGCAATCAATCTTGAAGCGGAGTCAAGATTCTTTATGCTTAATCATTCACAAACAAGTTTTATGAGAACTTTTATTTGTTTTAAATGACTAAAATGAGCAATTTAAAAGCAGCAATTTTTTATGACAATTTTGAGTTTAAAGATTATACGCAATATAACATGCTTTTACAGGATGAAAGTCTTTAATGATAAGGAATTCTTACATGTCAAATCTTGTAAACTTAAATGCTATTGTACGTCAGACAATTATAATGTCAACAAGCAGAGCAGACATTGTTCTAAATCAATATTACAATGTCTACCTAGAGTCAGGGAAGTTGGATCTCCGTCCTTTAAAAGATCAGGACGGATTGGAGTATAGGAACTAGGATCCCGGAGATGAACCTTGAGTCCGTGCTTGGTTAGCTCCAGGTCCTGAAATATTTGAGGACGGAGAAGGCTGAGAACGTAGGACGCTCTTGAGAACTTGAATCCAGGAACTATCTCCTCCGTAACTGCAGCTCCCCCTGAGTAAGAAGGTTTAAAACATCAGTCCTCGAAGAAGGAAGGAATATTTTTAACTATTTACCTACAACATGTCTTCTCTCGAGTACAGTAGTCTTTAGTCCTGCTTTAGCTAGATATGCTGCTGAAACCAACCCATTGTGCCCCCCACCCACCACAACAACATCATAGGAGTCTCGAGGAACACCACTACTCAACCCTCTCCTATACATTCAGATAGTTTTAATCTTAACCTTTCACCGTTACATAAATAATAGTTCATTTTCTCCATTCCAGGGTTACATATTTTTCGTTGAAACTATAGATAAAACAGTATAGATTGGTAATGTATGCTGTGTACACAAGGAATTGTACTCTCTACTGATTCTATCTAATGGGTCATGCAAGGTTTAATCTGTACATGCAGTACGCGGGGTATGTATATATAGACCTCAAATCAAACCCAAACTCCCCCCTGCCTCTTCAAAAAGAAAGTTATGAAACTATTGTGTACTTTATCATTCTTACTAACTTCATCGTGAAATTCATAATGAATGTGCTATAAAGTAATCATCGTGTTAGAGTTAAATTAGCTGTGCATTATAGCAGGTGTGCTATAAATTTTTTTTTGATTGGTTCCTGGATTTTCTCAACCAAAATTTTAGGATATTTCCAAAATGTTTTTTTTAATTGAAACGTTTCATGAAATTACCTATAACACTAATATTTTGGACTTAAATTTTTTAGGTTATTTTGCCCCTCGCTAAAGCTCGGGACAAAATGAAATCTAAAAAGACTTGAACCTTCTCGATAAAGAGAAAAGGAATTGAGTCTTTGTAACAAACTCTGATTTTCTAATACCTTTATTTTTTCCACCTGATGGTGTAAACCTTATTTTCTTTTAACATTAATTTTAGATTTTCTATAAAATGATGTTCCAGGGCCCAAAAGTTTATATAGCATAAATATGTGAAGTACACCTGCAGTATGGAAACAGTACAACAAAAAGGCCGTTTTACACTTTTTTCTAGTAAATTCCCCTCTAATATATATTCTATTCTCTTTGGTTCTTGCACAAAGTGCGGAATTTTGATTTCTGATTTTTCAACTGCCAAATAAACTTCTCGGTAAAAAAAAATATTTTTATTGGAAAAAGAATAAAAAAGTAAAAATAAGATTATTTATAATATTCAGGACTGTTTTATTTTAATCAAACAACATAACTCATGTTTTAGCCTATTGTACCAACCAGCTTTACTCTCATATAATCTCATTTCCAAACTTAAGTTTTTATTTCTAAAAACAAGTTTCTTTTTGCTTTCTTCCAGTTACCCCCCCATGGTGGGGTATTTTATGAGGCCAGGGGGGGGGGGTAAGTAGTTTTGTCACAATTCCTCTTAAATGCATTTGTCTTGTGTTTCATGGTGAGAATGGACAAAATGAAAATATTCTGCCAATCTTTTCATTTACAAACATTGTTTCAAATGTAGCTTGCATTGATTTATATTGATTTCAATTTATAATTACTTTTCCCGTTCATGGATCCTGTAATCGGGCAATATATTTAGATGTCGTCTTTATTAAAGAGAGCTATTTCACAAGAAAAACATATTTTATACAGAGCGTCCCATATCATATTAGATTATCCCTAATCTTTAACGACAAAAAAACCCTTAATACTCGAAAAACTTATGATTTTCCGCAAGAAAATTATTATATAAGCCTTATGTTATTTTTCAAATTGATTTATTCTAATTAAATTTTCTTATTAGTCCCGAAAATCGCAATTTAGACCTGATGACGGTCTAATATGATGTGGGACACCCTGTAGCAAAAATACAAGAAAGCACAGTGGTTAAGGGATAATCTATATATAGAAAAAATTTAGGGGCGTCGGCAGCACGCCAAACCCTTGATTTAGTCAGAGTAACGTGTTAAAAATCCCATTTCAAGTGTTTTTAATAAAATAGCGGGTCTTCGGTCGAAATTCTTAACTATAATACATAATATTTAAGCAACTTAGAGACTTCTCTCAAAAAAAATTCTTAAGCGGCCAAGCCTTATTTTACATGAATAAAAAGTTTATGGAATAAACTCATTTTGGGACTGACCCCCCTAATACCCCATTGTGCCCCCCCCACTTTACTTTTCCCAATATTATATCTTAACTTGAAGTATTTTCTACTAGAATTTTGCTTCCCATAGTCATAAATTTAATATTAAATATTAAATACATTGCCTTAGAGTAGAATATAATAGGTATCTTGGGACCTGGATTTTTCTTGGGCATTTTATCATTTTTCTTTAATTTAATTCATCTTTAAAAAAAAAATAGAATCTTTTTTAAGAAGTTGGAATTAAAACTAAGATTTTTTTGAAGAGAAGGTTAAGCTCAGGGAGAAGAGAAGGTTAGGGTATAGAAAGGAGATGGCTCAGGTGGAGGAGAAGAGAAGGTTGGGGTTAAGAAGAAGGGAAGGCCAAAGTTGAGGTGAAGGGAGGGTTAGGGCAGAAAAAAATAAGAATAAGTTATATTAAAGAGTTAAGGTAGAAGAGAAGGTTGAAGAAAAGGCTAGGGTTGAGGAAAGGAGAAAATTAGGGCTAAGGAAAAGAGAAGGTTAGGATTGAGAAGAAGAGAAGGTTGAGGTAAAGAAAAAGTTTGGGTAGAGTGAAAAAGGGAAGATTATGGTTGAGAAAAATAGAAGATTAGGGTTGAGGAGAAGAGTAGGTTAAGGTTAAGGAGAAGGGAAGGTTAAGGTTGAGGAAAAGAGAAGATTAGGGTTGAGGAGAAGAGTATGTTAAGGTTGAGGAGAAGAAAAGGTTAAGGTTGAGGAAAAGAGAAGAATATGGTTGAGGACAAGAGAAGGTTAAGCAGAACTTAAGGTTAAGGTTGAGGAGAACTGAAGGTATAGGTTGAGGAGAAGAGGAGATTGGGGTTGAGGAGAAAAGAAGGTTAAGGAGAACTAAAGGGAATGTTAGCGTTGAGAAGAACTGAAGGTTAAGGTTGAGGAGAATGGAAGGTAATTGTTTAGATGGAGAGAAGGTTAAGGTTGAAGAGAAGGGAAGGTAAAGGTTTAGATTAAGAGAAGGTTAGGGTTGAGGAAAGAAAAGGTTGAGGTTGAGGGGAATGGGAGGTAAATGTTTAGGTAGAGAGAAGGTTATAAGGTTGAAGAGAAGGGAAGGTAATGGTTTAGATTGAAAGAAGGTCAAGTTTAAGGAGAAGAAAAGGTTGGAATTGAGAAGAAGAGAAGGTTAAAGCTGAGGAGAAGAGTAGGTTAAGGTTGAGGAGAATTGAAGGTAAAGGTTTAGATGAAGAGAAGGTTAAGGTTGAGGAGATGAGAAGATTATGGTTGAGGAGAAAAAAAGGTTAACTAGAACTGAAGGTTAAGGTTATGGTTTAGGAGAAGGGAAGGTCAAGGTTTAGATGGAAACAATGTTAAGGATAAGAGAAGGTTGGGGTTGAAGAGATGAAAAGGTTAGGGTTGAGGAGAAAAGAAGGTTAAGAAGAACTGAAGGTTAAGGTTATGGTTTAGGAGAAGGGAAGGTCAAGGTTTAGATGGAAAAAATGTTCTGGAGAAGAGAAGTTTGGGGTTGAGGAAAAGAGAAGGTTAGGGTTGTGGAGAAGAGAAGGTTAGTTTTAAGGAGAAGAGAAGGTTGGGGTTGAGGAGAAGAGAAAGTTTGGGTTAAGGAGAAGAGAAGGTTAAGGTTGAATAGAAGAAAAGGTTAAGGTTGAGAAGAAGGAAAGGTGAAGGTTTAGATAGAGAGAAGGTTAAGGTTGAGGAGATAAGAAGGTTAGGGTTGAGGAGAAAGAAGATTAAGGTTAAAAATGAGAGATGGTTCAGGTTGAGAAGAAGGGAAGGTAAAGGTTCAGATAGAGAAAAGGTTAAGGTTGAAGAGATGAGAAGGTTAGGGTTGAAGAGAAATGAAGGTTAAGGAGAACTGAAGGTTAAGGTTAGTGTTAAGGAGAAGGGAAGGTCAAGGTTCAGATGGAAACAAGGTTAAGGTTATGGAGAAGAGAAGGTTGGGGTTGAGGAAAAGAGAAGGTTATGGGTTGAGGAGAAGAGAAGGTTAGGTTTAAGGAGAAGAGAAGGTTAAGTTTAAGGAGAAGAGAAGGGTGGGGTTGAGGAGAAGAAAAGGTTATGGTTCAGGAGAAGAGAAGGTTAAGGTTTAGGAGAAGAAAAGGTTAAGGTTGAGAAGAAGGGAAGGTAAAAGTTTAGATGGAGAGAAGGTTAAGATTGAGGAGAAGAGAAGGTTAGAATTAAGAAGAAGAGAAGGCTAGGATAGAGGAGAAGAGAAGATTTCAAAATATTAATATATAAGCACTGTTTCCTCTAAATGAAGATTTGAAAAGAACTGAGACTGGACCTACTCTCCGTGATAAACCAGAGCTGGAGAAATGAGGGATAATCTGGTTTTAGTCTCGTGATCCAAGAAACCACTCTCATATACCGTCTCATAAACTTGTTAGTTCCTAAACCGTACAGATAAGAATTGGCCGCGGGGATATATAGATAAATCTTATTCTTACATAATTTTATCTTTTTGAAATTAATACGTTACACGATTAACTAAACTTCTTCAATATTTTAAAATTCAAATCAGTAGTGTCGGATCCTGGAACCAGAGAAGACCTACTCATCTTCCTCTCCTTTTATGCACTCGTTATTTATCATATATTTGTATCAATAGAAATTCAGGGCTCTTCGCGCCCTTCTTTCTAAGCTTTTGGGGCGCTTCGCGCCCATCTTCTATTTCAACTTTTAATTGTGGCTTTATCTCTGAACATCTTCTCTTTGAACAGTATAAAACAAAAACAAAAAAAGTTTGCGAATTTCATAATATTTTTTTGCGCATTTTAAAAATTTTTCAAAAATAAAAAACATTTAAACATAAATTTTTAAAATTTTGATCACTCATAAACCTTCCCTGGGGTCACGTAAGGTCCCACAAAAAATTTGGGCCCGATCGATTCAGCCGTTTTGACGTTTATTGGATACAAACATACAAACAAACAGACATACAGACAGACAAGCCAAATTTATATATAGATAAGCAATAAATGTACTTCTAAAAATTTTTTTTAAAGCATTCGTTCGCGCATAAATATTTTTTACTTTCTGTTCACGATTTGAAAACTAACTTTTTTAGTTCGTACACGGAATTTTCCGTTGATTTTCAAAAAACTTCGCGCCCTTCTTTCTAAGCTTTTGGGGCGCTTCGCGCCCATCTTCTATTTCAACTTTTAATTGTGGCTTTATCTCTGAACATCTTCTCTTTGAACAGTATAAAACAAAAACAAAAAAAGTTTGCGAATTTCATAATATTTTTTTGCGCATTTTAAAAATTTTTCAAAAATAAAAAACATTTAAACATAAATTTTTAAAATTTTGATCACTCATAAACCTTCCCTGGGGTCACGTAAGGTCCCACAAAAAATTTGGGCCCGATCGATTCAGCCGTTTTGACGTTTATTGGATACAAACATACAAACAAACAGACATACAGACAGACAAGCCAAATTTATATATAGATAAGCAATAAATGTACTTCTAAAACTTTTTTTAAAGAATTCGTTCGCGCATAAATATTTTTTACTTTCTGTTCACGATTTGAAAACTAACTTTTTTAGTTCGTACACGGAATTTTCCGTTGATTTTCAAAAAATGCCATTCTTTAACGGAATGGCACCCAGCCCTAATCAAACACACAATTAATTCAAATATAATGACACTGTAAAACGCAGTAACAATAATCAAGTTGTTTATCATCATGCATTGTCATAAAAGAATAAAAGAATATTATGTTTAATGCACATAGATTCAGGCTGCTATGAAAAGTTGTATCAATTTTCAAGACAGTGTTGACTATAAAGTGTTGCAACGCCCTTGGCTTTGATTTTACCGCTCCCAAAAAAACATCCTTTTTTGTGGCCCTAAACATGACTATTTTAGAACTTTAAAGCACTTATTTTTAACTTTAGTGTTTAATAAGTCAAAATTCTCATCAATTTTAGACCAAAAATACTACATATTATTTTATTTCTACATTACTTTCAATCTTTATCCATTTTCTGGTATTTCGTCATAATTATTTTTTCAAATTTCCTTTTGATACAGATTTTTGGTCACCATTTTTTAAATTCGTAGAGACACAAACTGCACTCTTTTTATATCAAGACGCTTTTAAGCTCCTCAAAGACAGATAAGCAAGAAAAGTGCACATACATGGTACAAATCAAGTTTTTATGAAAGATTGTAAAGATGAAACAGTATTTGCAGTTTACAAAAGTAAACTAGTGTTCTTTTTGCTGTGATCATACAATATATTTATATATCTATCTAATTCATTGTTTTTTCGAAGTAAATAAGATGCAGCAGGAAGATATTTTTATATATTCTTATTTATTAGTTTAGTAAACATATGTGTGGTGTAATCTATGAATGTAATAGAGAAAATTTCTTATTTTTCACTTTGTCTAATATTTACGTTTCTCCAAAGATGAGCGTTTAAGATATAAAAATAGATTAAAATTGCTTTCAGGGACTGAAGAAGTGATTTTTGATGACTTCCATTTTAAGAGGGTCATGCCTGAATTACAACGGTACCCTTTAAACAGCTTTATCGGATCAAAGGAGAAAATAACAAGAATTGAAGAAAATAAGAACAAGAATGAATTGAAGAAAATAAGAAAAAAAATCCTGTGTTCATCTTGTGAAATAAACTCAAGTTTTCGCCGTGTAAAAACTCGGTCCTAGACCCGTGATCAAATCGTCGACATTGACCTCGACAACACGTGAATTATCAGGGGATATTGACGGGTCACTCGTGTGAAATTCACCAAATAATCTTGTGTTATTCGCGGGTTTTTGTTTGTTGGGAGGATTGATTAAAGGAGACGAGAACAAGAATGGATTAAAGGAGATAAAACAAGGATGGATTGAAGGTGATGATAACACGGATGGATTGAAGGAGAGGAGAACAAAGATGGATGAAAGAAAATTAGAACAAGGATGGATTTAAGGAGCTGAAACAAGGATGGATTGAAGGAGATGAGAACAAGGATTGATCAAATGGAGACGAGAACAAGAATGGATTGAAGGAGATAAAACAAGGATGGATTGAAGGAGATGAAAACAAGGATTGATTGAAGGAGATGATAACAAGAATGGATCGAAGGAGATGAGAACAATTGGATGGATTGAAGGAGATGAGAACTAGGATGACTTGATGGAGATAAGAAAAAGGACATGGATTGAAAGAGAACAAGGATGGCAATTGAAGGAGATGAGAACAAGGATGGCTTGAAGGAGATAAGAACAAGGACGGGTTGAAGGAGATGAAAACAAGGATTGATTGAAGGATGGATTATAAAGACCAAATCTTTGGCAAAACTTTCTGCTTTTAATGAAAGATTTGCAAGTGAATAATTGAATCAGTTGACAAAATCTTGGATGAAAATATCAGAAGTCAAGATGATGATGATTTTTTTTGCCCCACCCTGTGTGTTTTTTGCCACCCCCCCCTCTGGCCCTAAATTTCTCTTATTCATTTAAAGTCAATAACATGTCCTCTTTGTAGACTGTAGTCCACATTTCAAGGACTACATATTATATAATATATCCCTCTGAAAAGTTCTGTAATACTCTCTGAAGTCCTGAGTTCCCTGAGTGGTCTCCTGAAGCTAATAATATAAGTTGCAGTCCTCCCCTAATTTACCACACCTGATTTTAACCATTGCCCAAAAATTCCAGGGGGGCAAGAGGACTTGCCCCCCTGTGTACACTACTGTCTGATGATAGGTAAGAATAAACGAGATTTTAGGGTCAAATCGTTAAAAAATTATTAACTTATTGATCGAATTTAAATTCGCATGAATGGCCCTTGACAATCAGCTGATTTTACAACGCAAACAATACGCAACTATTTTTACAAGGAAAATGCGCAGTTCTTTATTTATTAACAGTATTTTTGGCAGAGATAAGATGATAAAATGAACGGGGAAGACAACGACGCTGCCGAGGGCATCAAAGAAAGGGATGAGGTAAAATTATTAGAATATAAAACATATAAATAATTCCGTTCCCCGTCTTAGCAATTGCATGTTTACAAAATTATACAGATTACACACTGGTATTTCACATAATTCACATTACTTTACACATTACACACTGGTATTTCATACTATTAATGGGTCTCAATTTTTATTGCAACTGAGGTACGGTTAAATGGGACTACATTGGAAAGGATATGGTTTTGCTGTTTGCTGTGATAGCTTACGTTAGGATTGAAAGATTGCACGTTATGTGAAAATGTAGACAGTAATCGGTTGCAACGTTTCATGATGTGTAAGTTTTGGGCTTTAATATAACTATTTGAATTTGATGTTCGTTTGGGTTTGATGCTTAAAATTTAGTTGTACTTTAACATTTCATTTACTCGATTGTAACGCGCATTATATTAACATTCAGGTTAAAAACTATAGTGTGAATGTGTATCCATGTTCTTCGTAAGTTTGGTATAAAATCTGATTAAAATCTAAAGTCGTCTATATTGTATTGATGCATACAACGACCACTGTATCTGAGTGTGTAGTTAAAGGTGATATATCTGAGGCAATCTTTGTACACGAATAAAGGAGTGGATTAAATCCTAATCATAAATTAATGAATGTAGGATGATGATGACGTAAGCAGCGATGATTGGAGTGGGAGCGGGATCTGGGAGAAAACGGAGAACCGTCGTTGGATAGTTGTAGATGATCATATCATCCCTAGGATTGATAGATCAGTTCCAGACTCCAGTCTAGTTCCAGGACTGGGGATCGGACAGTATATCGAGAACTTTGAGATCGAGACGGAGATGGTTTTAAACAGTTCCAAGCTAGTGACCCGCGGGAGTATGGTTGTAAGGATATCAGTTGAACTTGAACCTGAGCAACCTAACCTTCCCTCCACATCTATAGACGAAGAACCCGTTCCCGGCCCCAGTGGATGCTCTCATAGAGGAGAACAAACCATTGATGCATCCAGGTTGGATTAATACTCTTTTCTATTCTCTTAAATATTGTATGTTAAGCGAATTTCATTAAGGATGAGAGTTTAATGGCGACCTAAAGATCTAGAAAAGATCTAAACCTAAAAGAGTAATTCAGTATTTTGACAGGGATATATATTTTACTGAAAAATCTTTCTTCGAAGTAAAAGTATTAATATCCAATTTTCCATTTTCCCCCCTGTAAAATTATAAGCTAAAATTTTTAAATGGATGTTTGACTTCTGCGGTCAAAGATTTTTACTCTTTTCGAAGATAAATTAATTCTTTTTAATGTTTATTCATAATTTTCTAAGAAATTTTTATTGGGTGCAAAAAGCCACAATATAAAAAGGGAAAAATCATCATCGGTAAATATCAAATTTTTCCCATTGTGTGTCGGAGTGAGTGGGGTTTTATAATGGAATGAAAATATTTTTTTTTAATAACACTTACAATATACATATTCTTTATTTTGCAGAACTCTGAATTCAAGTTCTGATCAAACATTATCTCCAGAACGAAGATCAAATCACAGACATAGAAGCACTTTCATCAAGAATAAACGGAAACAGAGAAAGAAGAAGAAAAGTAAACTGATAAAATCATTTTCAAGTTTTCCTAGGACCGGCCGACTGAAAATCCCGAGCGCAGCAAGTAGTCCGGGCCGAGCTACTCCTAGTCCAGATTCGTTAGTTAGGATTTGTACGTACTGGGAGAACAGGTTGAACTCCCCTGAATATATTATTCATTCTGATTCCGAATAGAAATCAAATACGTGTGCAGTGTGCAGTATTTTATTCCACCTTTAAAGTATTTTCAATTTGTTCTTCAAAATAGAAAATCTGACCAGAACTAAACCTATTAAATACCTATGTATATAGCTGGTGATGTGTTCAATATGCAAGAAAATTATATTTAACTTTGTTACTTGTTTAGCTTAAAAAGCCAATGAAAATTTAAATTTTTAAATATTGTAAGTTTATTCTTCAGAAAAAATGGCGGGCGGGATGGAGGCCTTTCCACCCTTAGAGATTAACCAAGAGAACAAAGTACTGACAATGCTCAAGGAAATATTTCCATCTGTAGAGGTATGGCGGAGAACTAGACTAGTACTAGTAGTTTAAGGCGGAGAACTAGACTAGTACTAGTAGTTTAAGGCGGAGAACTAGACTAGTACTAGTAGTTTAAGGCGGAGAACTAGTTAAGTAGTTTAGGGCCGAGAACTAGAATAGTAGTTTAGGGCGGAGCACCAGACTAGATTAGGGCGGAGAAACAGACTAGTAGTTTAGGGCATAGAACTAGACTAGTACTTTAGGGCGGAGAACTAGAAGTTTAGGGAGGAGCACTAGACTACTAGTTTAGGACGGAGAACTAAACTAGTAGTTAAGGGAGGAGCTTTAGACCAGTAGTTAGGGCGCTGCACTAGAGAACTAGACTAGTAGTTTAGGGAGGAGCTTTAGACCAGTAGTTAGGGTGCTGCACTAGACTATTAGTTTATTGGCGGATCCCATGACTAGTGGTTTAGGGCGGAGCACTAGACTAGTGGGTTAGGGCGGAGCACTAGACTAGTGGTGTAGGGCATAGCACTAGACCAGTTGTTTAGGGCGGAGAACTAGACCAGTAGTTAGGGCAAAGAACTAGACCAATAGTTGGGGCGGAGCACAAGAACAGCAGTTTAGGGCGTAGCATTAGACCAGAAGTTTTGGGCGGAGCACTAATCCGGTAGTTTTTGGCGGGGCACTTGACCAGTAGTTTAAAGTTGAACTCAAAGTTTTTGATTTTGTTGAAAGTTTCAGAAACATTGCTAGGACAGAAAATTACCAAAAATATAATTTCTAGGAGAAAGTTGTTGAAATGATTTTAGAGGAAGCACACGGAGACTTCAATAACGCTGCAGATATACTGATCAGCATGTGCCCGCCCTTGTCTACGCAAAAAGGTTTTTTTTTCGTTAATCCTAAATATTTAATTATATTTTGTGAATTTATTTTCAGAAGATTTTGGTTAGCCTAAACTTTATTTACAAAGTAAAAAAGAGAGATTTCATCTTTTTAGTTTCCACTCCTCAAGAAGATACAAAATCCCGGGATGCAAACCCGTTCCGTCAGGCATCCTCTCTTCTATATCCAGGTGCACTTATTGATCACTGACTCACTCATTTAATCTTAATTTTTTTAAATCAACAATGGTTCACCGAATTAATTTAACATAAAATGTATGAACGGTTGTCTTTAATGATAATAATAATGATAATAATGCCAAGTATTTACCAGAGAGAAATGATTCTGAACCGAACCTTGTCCAAGCTCCCAGCCAATCAACAGATGAGGAGAAAGCCAACCTGGACTTTGAAGAACCTGAGGTTAGTGAGGTTAGACCCTCAGAAGCAAATATATTTTAAAGGGAGTGACATGCTACGTATGGTAGTTGAACTGAGAATGTAGTATTGTGAGAACTTTTTTTGGATTCATTTATGACTTGTTAAATGTTTTAATGATGTATAATATTTTGAGACTCGGTTATTAAATAACGAAGACAAAAAATGAAAAAAAAAATTTACAGTACACTAGTTAGATGTTTCGCAACATATTTCTCAAATTGAAATTTTCTGAATAAATCAGTGTTAGAATTCATCATTTCTTTTTCATCATTATATTGAATTTCTTTTTTTTAATGAATTTGTTCCCAGATTTCTTCAAATTCTTCAAGTTCTTCAAATGTCGTCTTTTCAATACAAATTCCAGGAAATCTATAGAAAATGTTTGTATATAATGAGACATTACAGAAACTAATAACTGAATAAGATTGCTTATCTTCTATGATAATAGTTAATTTTTATTTTCTCAACCTGTTCCTAAACAACTAATTTGTTTACTGTAGAACTTCTACTACAATTTTCGTCGTCGTTATTGAATAATCTTTTAAAACCCGATTCTTAAAATCATTCCTCAAAAATGAGGATTTTAAAGATTGAATTTGCGCTCTTGCTGAACAAATATGCACCGTAAAAACGTCTCATAGGTATCAAATGATTCCTAAAAAATTTGTCCACAATACGTTACATTCTCAGTTCAACTACCATATATTGCCGGTCATTTCCTTTAATGCTCATTCTTTAAACAAAGCAACATTAAATATTTATGAATTTATGCAATATAATTAATATACGATTATTCCTAGAATTCCTTGAACCTGAACCTTGAGAGCAGGATGAATAAACTTAGTTTATCTCGATCCTCCTCCTCCTCCTTCCAGTCTGCCTCATCATACAATACATCATCTTTTCATTCGACCTCCTCCCGTCCACCTTCAACCTCTAAACATACCCCAGCCTCGGAGCAGTCAGCCTCCACAAATACACAACCGCAGTCTAAACAATCATCCTTGCATACTCCGTCCTCATCCCTGTCCCAATCCGATCATGAACCATTCTCCACCTCATACAATTCATCCTCGACCAAGCCAGCCTCCTCTTATAATCCTTCGTCCAACTCAAATCAGAATATATCTTCTAGTTCAAGATTAAAACCAGCCTCTGCATCCGCCTTCTCCTTGAAAAGTCTAAATGTTCCACGTTTAACCTCTTCAGCTCCAAACACAATGGAAGAAGGTACAATTTAGACTAAATAGTTTGTCAACGAATCAATTTTTTACCTGATGACTTTGCTCTGCGCTAAAACGTTTAGATTGTTTAGTAGACAAAATATATTCCATTCCAATATACGAATAAAGATAAGACCTTTGCGCAATTAATATTTTTCTCTATAGCCTTGTAGACCACAACGTTAGCTCTATTTATACGACATTGGCTCTATATACTCTATATTTCTCCATGAAATTTCTAAAAAGTACAAGATTATAGAACAGATGTCGTAACTTACTTCTAGTACATGAGTGAGTACAGCTAGATTCACGGTTCCTTGGTTCCTTGCACCTGTTATATTGTCTATTTCTAAGTAGAACTAGTAAGTTTAAGGCATGAAACCAAATTCAACCTTCTAATATTTATATTTGAAAATGTCATGTCGTTATTAAAGTATTATCTGTTGTAGTTTACCCTGTATGATGACTGTTTAGGGTTACCTGAGCTTCTACGAGTATTCAATCAGGGTCGGAACATCATGTTGTTGTTGCGTGGTCCTCCTGGTTCAGGGAAAACTACGCTAGCAAAAAAGTAAAAATATTTTTTTTTTGTGTAAAAAAACCCCCACCAACATGAATATTCTCATTATTGGGACGTTATGTTACTTTCTTTGGATGATTAAGTAAATTACTGTACAGTTGTGATAACTTTTTTGAGAAACTTTTGCGGACATCTTGTGCTAATTTCAAGAATTTAAAGATTGGCATTACCGATTCTCAACGGTAACTTCTATCTGAGAAACAATGAAAAGGATATTGCTGTTTTCCTATCTTATTACGTGGTGAACTCGGACAATACTTTTAATGTCTCGGAAGCATAAATTCGCAACTCATTTTTGTTGAGAAAACTAATCCATTTTCAGCTAGAAAAACAAGGATATCGCATTCATCCTTGATCAGTCAAAGGTATTAATGGTGTCGTTTTGAATCTGACTTGACTTTACATCTTGTATGAAAATTATTTTGAGTTTTAATTCCCGAAGGAGCTCATTTGTCAGTTAAGTTTCGATAGAATAAAAAAGTTCGGGACTGTTTTGAACCGGATCCTGGTCAAAATTGAAAAGATTTATATTTTGTTATAATTAGAAATAAATGTACATTTTCAGGTATTTGGAACAATTAAAAACTGGTCAGATTTTCAGCACCGATCAATATTTCATGGTTAATGACAGGTAAAAGATTATTTTTCCAGAAATAAAATTTTATAAAATTAATCTTATTTCTCCAGGTATGTTTTTAAACCGCATCTTCTTTCCGAGGCACATCAGTTCAATCAGAAACAGGTTCGGGACGCATTGCTCCGGGGGGAACGATTAATTATCGTTGATAATACTAATACAATGAGTTGGGAGATGAAACCCTACCTTGCCCTCGCATCAGAGCATGGATACCTTGCTTTTCTCCAGGAGCCTAACACACCGTGGCTTTTCAATTCTAAGGAACGCATGATTACATTTTCAATTTTTTATTTCAAATTTTCGCAAAGAGAAAATTGATGTTTTTTAAAGAGTTAGGGAAATAAATGCGTAGATTTTGCAGGAATTAGCAAGGAGAAATACACATAACGTACCTAAGGATAAGATAGAAATAATGATTGGTCGGTATGAGAAGAATATTACAGCTCAGGATCTAATGAAGAGCTGGAACATGAAACAAGTGTCTTCTCAAGTAAAAGAGGAAGTGGAAGAAGAAAAAGATGATGACGAAGATTCGGATTATATTTTTAACTCTTCTGATGAGGATCTAACTGATAATGAGGAAACTGATGATAAAAACAATGAGAATTATACACCCGATTATGCAACATTTATCGATAATATTAATCCCAGTCCAGATACAACCTCACACCATGCTCCGTTAAATAATCCTGCCGATATTATTCTATCAGAAGAACCACATAAAACCCCTCGGGACAACGCACTCAAGACAGATATTGCATTTGTACCTGAAACTTGCAGTTTAAATAATGATGCCTCTCTTGTTTCTCCTAGTACAGGTCAACCAAGAGAAGTGAAGAGAAAAGAGAGTGTTCTGGAACGTTTCTGGGCAGCAACTGTTAGAGAACAGGATAGCTGGGATACTGATACTATATCTAGCACAGAGGAACCCAAACCTTCGAGGAGTTCCAGGAGTAGACAGAAGAAGGCCAGGAAGGAAGAGATTGATATTACTAGTTCAGTTTATGAGAATGTAAAACCTCTCTACCAACCTTTTCAATCAGAGTTATCAATGTCATACATGGATGGACAGCGAGGAGCAAGCATATCTTCAGAGTTTTCCGGGTCTGAAACCTGTTCCGAGGGAGAGACAACCCTGAGCCTTTCCATGGAACCTCTATTCGCTGTTCAACTTCAAGAAGCGTTTGGACCTCCGCTGGACGATTCTTTACTTCAGTTCCTAAATACCGAGGAAATTCTTTCGGCAAAGATTCCTTTATCCTTGGCTTATCAGTTCTTTCTTGCCTGGCAGGCTTCATTAAAGGAATATTTAGTTTCTAAACCGGATAAAGTTGAACCTGAACCCAGTCTTGATATTCACAGTGAGAAACATTTTCCTAAGAACGTCCTTGCTCCGAATGCCGTAGAATACTACGAGAATAAAATGCTGGATACAGTTTTGCTGGAGAGTGCAAACCTTGCTCAATCATTGAAGAAGAAACCACAATTTGTGTTGAAATCTCGCAGTGCTGATAGGATAGATCGAAGAGTTGAAGAGGAGGAGGAGGAGAGTGATTTGGAGGTATACCGGAGTAAAAGAAATCTACTTTACAAGAAAGCAATGGACGCGAGATCGAGCAAGATCATGGGCGCATCTGCTTTCTATTCAGCTGAGGCTAGAGAGGCAAACAGAACTCTCAAGGCCCGACAAAGAGAAGTGCAGATGGAAATGTTTCAATCTGCAAACGAGAAAAATCCTCGAAATAAGTTGGATCTACATTTTCTAACCACAGCAGATGCAATTCAACAATTACAAGAGTTCATTGCTGCAAGAGAAGGATTGACCAGGTACATTGAAAATTTGACATTTTGTTTTTGTAGACAGTACAATTTATTGAGATATCTCATTGTAAATCTATATAGGCGGGAGGGGGGAGGAGAAGACGGATCTATTGAGATTGTGACAGGGAAAGGAAACCGGAGTGAGAACGGTAAATCCCGTCTCCGTCCTGCTGTTATCAACTGGTTGGATCAGAAAAAGTATCGCTATACAGAGATTAATTCAGGGGCCTTCAAGGTTTATTTCAAGAAAGGATAAATTTTTTTTTCTGTACAATCTTACAAGTCAACTTTTAATTTATTTTGTTGTGTAAACTGACTGACGTCACTTAGGTTTAACTTTTTCCTGATATATTTCAAATTTAACTCCTCCCCCTCCTCCCTTTTGGTGGCTGCTGATGGATGGCATCAGGACCACTTTGTGTGGTTCTGCTGGTAGCATCCATAGGATTATAGTAGATGCAGGGGATGCCGGAGCTCAGTGGTTTAGCCCCGATGGGGGTATGGGCTCTCCAAGATGGGAGGGTTTTCAGATCCTTCCCGTATCTTAACTTATCTTATATATTTTATTATATAAAGTATATTTTATACACTTGATATTTGCTCACTTATAGTCCTTTATAATATAAATTTGTAATTTAAACTTAAATTAAAATGTGTTCTGCAGTTGTCCAATTGTTGATCAGGATCCTGATATCACAGCTAGATATTAATGATAATCATTTATCCATCTGTATAATATTTATCGGAATTTTTGTAACCAGAGTCATGACCCGGTAGAAAATTATAATTTCTTTACAAGTGTATCTGACGCAGAGAGCGCTCCTATTGTGATATCTTGAAATATATCATTGTTTTGATTTATCTTTTTTACTGATAAAGCTCTCCGCTCATTTATATATTTTATATATATGTTGGCTATAGTTGGCCAAACGGCTGCACCGAGTGGGCTGACATTTTTAAAGGGAACCGTTGAGTACCCCAAGGGTAACTTGGCTAACCTGTAATTCTCTTTCAAAATTCGATTTTTTAAAAAATTTGAAGTGCATGCACGCCATGGGCATAGAGCTTGTTAATATTATTATTTAAATCTATTTCAGAGACGTTCAGGGGGGGGGTGACGAGGCTCAGCCCGGGGGGGGGGATGTTGACGGGGCTCAGCCCCCCGGATTTGTAAAGTAACAAGTCTTTTTGGTAATGTTAGATCGTCTATACGCAACATACCTCCTTCTGACCTAACCTAGTTGCAATATCGGAGCTACGCCAGCTGTTCATTTTTATACATATTATTTGAGGGTTAGGTTAGGTTAAGATAATTTCTGAGCCGAGCGCCGCGGCCAGGACAGGCTAGGGGGGCGGGTGCTGCGGCCACAAGTCCATATAGCGGCTGTAAAACCACGTGCTAGTAGGTCGGATGTGTTGTATAGCGGATTTGGCGTAGGTCAGAAGTGGAGTATAGCGGATTTGCGTAGGTCGAAAAATACACCATAGTTTATTTAAATTATTTAAGAACTAATGAATGGCCCTTTGCGTAATGCCCAGAATTCCGCGTTTCTTTAAAAATGCAGAAACAGACAGTTGCGTGCGACTGCGGCGCAGCGGCTCAAGTTACTGTATAATGGGACTGGGAGTTATACCACGGCACGTATATAGGATTTTATCATGAAGATATCTTCGCCATCGGCACATATAGTCGGTAAAAATGTTTCCTGGGATAAGCGCACCGTAGACGAAATTTTAATATGAATATTGTTTTGTATTTTTTATCATTTGCCCCTGATTTTGACTTTTAATGTTATTTAATCTTCTAAATGCGACCTGCACTCCCTGCACACATGCAGAAGAAAAGGGTTAAATCGATTCACGGCACGTTCTTTTTAGTTTTTTAGTTTTACAATTATTTTTGTTTCAGACGAAAAATGGTTTTTCAATGTGAGAGTTCCACAGAGCAGGATGAAAACCAGGTACTGAGAGTAGATTCAGAATCAGATATTGACGGCTCAGATGTTGAAGATGATTTTGGAAGTGATTTAGAAGAGGAAGAAGAAGATGTTGAAGGAGAAGAGGTTGAAGAAGATGATGATGAAGTAGAAGAGGGAGATGAAGATGATGAAGTAAATGAAGAAGAACTAGATGATGATGCAGTTGAAGAGGAACTTGAAAATGAAACCAACGAAGTATCTTCCGAAGATTTGACCGACGAAGATAATGATGATGAGGATGACACTCTGATGGAAGGAAACTCAGGTTGGGCGGACGCAATGAACAAAGTTCTTGCAATGGGTAAGAATACAGATAAACCTGTATCCGTCCTCTCTAAAGCAAAGAAGGATAATGTGAAGAAGAAGAAGAAGAAGGAAAGTGAAGATGGTAAAGAGAAGGAGGGAGGAGAGAACTCCAGTGATAGTAATGACGAGGAGGAGGCAGAGGAACCACATATACCTGTATCTGTAAGGAGAGCAAAGAAGAGAGAGATTGACTCCGTGTGTCGGGTGAAACCCGATATAACGAAACGAGCTTTAGAGAAAACCTTGTCTAAAATTGCGACAAGGGGAGTAGTACAGCTCTTTAATGCAGTCAGAGAACAACAGAAGAATGTTAAATCAAGTTTAAAGGAGGCCGGAAATACATGGAAGAGAGAAAAAATCCTCAAAAATTTGGACAAAGATGGTTTCTTGGCAGTCTTAGACGGTAAACGACCTTCTGAGGGTCCCGTGAGTAAACGGCCGAAGACCGAGGTGAAGGAATTGAAAGAAGAAGAGGATGATACAGCAAACTGGAGCGCACTTAAACCTGATTATATGCTGGGAGCAAAGATGAAGGACTGGGATAAGGAGTCGGATGAGGAAATATAAATTTAATTTTTTTCAGATGGATAATGATCAGTTTGAGAAACGAGTTCGATTTCTTCTTCATCATTTGAAGAAGATGTCAAGAGAGATGCCCTCAGATCTACGGCAGAGGGTTCCTTATGAACTTCTGTCTTCTCTAGCTGCTAACTTAGCTCAGGTAATATTATTAATTGTTGGATTCATATAATTTTAATAGTATTATAAAGTTTTCTGTGAAAAAAAGCAAATCGATATTCAACAAAAGTAAGTAAAGACCATTCATTTTTAATTGGTTTAATTGGTGAATTTATGTTATAATTATCACACCAGTGATACAATAACATAAACACACCAATTAAACCAATTAAACCATTAAAACATTAAAAAAATTTAAAATTAAAAAAATT